ACAGTAGATGCTGTCACCATGGTCTTAAGCATTGATGTGGAAGTATATTCCACTGTTGATGCTTCAGTAATGCTTGTTGGATGACTGGATTGCATCTGTGTTGCTGTTTTTGTTGTAGATGTAGGTAAAGAGGATTGTTCTGGAGATTCCATTTGTTGGGGTGTTGTTGAATTAACGAGTTTTGTGGTGCCAACAGAGCTTTGCATTGTGGCTGAGACATTGTTCTGCTTTCTTGTTGAAGTTTGTTCTGCCGTGCCTGATTTAGATGACAGCTTTATGTGTGTTGTGTCTGTTAATGCTGAAACTGTGGCCTGTGATTCAGAAATCTGTCCTTGAGTGACTTCCTTTGTGGGTGTGTCAGCCGACACAAAGTTGCTGATGGGTGTGCTGGCACTTTTGAAATATAAAGACTGCTCAACATCAGTTGACATTCCTTCTTCATCTGTTGGTAGTAAATTATCTTCTGAAAAACCTGATTGCTTTACAGTGGATATACTGGATGGTTGTGCACTTCCTTTAACAGACATTTGCATTATTGTACTTGTTATTATCTTAGCTGTTGGTGATTCATTTAATTCTGTAGGTTTTATTGTTGAACCTGTTATGTCAGTCATAAAGAAAGCTGTGTGAGAGGGAAAGAATAAATATAGGTAAGACTACTGAGCTAAAATCAATATTCATCTTAGTTTATATGATTACTTGAAACAATATCAGATAGAACACGCACTGTATTGTTAATTCTATATTTAATTAAATAAATAATAAAAGTTCAAAAATCACTGATACAAACTCTTATAATAATATTTATTGTTAAATTGATTTCTTGTCTTCTGTCCCTTTACAGAATGGGTGACAGTGGCGTTGGATGTAGGAGTTTGCTCTGAAATCGAAGGATTGACGGTTCAAGCCCCGACTCCGACTTTCAGTGTCATTGTGTCCTTGTGCAAGACACTTCACCTGCATTGTCTACTGATGGTGGTCAGAGGGCCCAGTGGCGCCAGTGTACGGCAGCCCTGCTTCTGTCAGTGAGCCCCAGGGCAGCTGTGGCTACAATGTAGCTTGCCACCATCAGTGTGTGTGTGAATGAATGTAGTGTAAAGCGCTTTGGTCAAGTCTCCTGACTTGAATAAAGGTGCTATATAAGTACATGCCATTTGTATCATTTTCTAACTGCTATTGCGTTTGGTTATGCAGCAAGTTTTTTAAAGTTCATAAAGAGCTTGAGGTTTTAACTTCTTTCAGGAGATGATTTCCTCCAAATTGAACTAAAAGCTCTTTGGTAATTCTTTTGTTGGTGTTTAAATATTGTTATTTTTTTCAATTGCATTTTCTTAAGGGGGATTTCATGAAACTAAAAAAAATCTATCACATAATACCATTGAAACCAGTTACTGGCAATATGTCAACCAAAAACCAGATTCAAAATTGAAACTCAAAATGTTACTTTATATGTTGATAAAGCAGTCCCCACTCCTTTGCATGACCTTCAGAAAATCTGCAGAACTGCTGACTGAAACTACTTTGAATGACAACTACTAATCTGTAACTAAACAAAGGGAATAAAACCTCTAAAGACTTTTGCGCATTGCTAGATATTATTTGTTGTTTCTCCATTATTAGTGTTTTGTAAACCTTTCTTTGTTGTAAAAGAAAAACTTCCCCTACATGTTCATTACTTATTAGATTACTCACCTGCCACCAGTTTCAGAAGGAATCCACCGTTCATTGTGGAAGCTGATGGGGCAGCTGATGAATATCTTTTTTTTTTTGTCTGCAAAAGACAAAGAGCAAAGAGGGTTTGAATTCAAATCTTTTTTTATGGCAAATATACAAACACTCCCTACCTTAAAATGTCTTGGATACCAATGTTACATGCTTTTGTCTGGTTTGTAAGAAGAAAAATTCAAAACATTTTAAAGTAATTTGTTACTGAATGTCCATTGCAAGCTTTTTGTTCAATTTATCAAGCCTTAATTTTAGTCTTGTCACATATATGCTAAATTCATTCTTTTTGCATGGTTCTCAATGTTTTTCCAACTTACACTAAAATGAAAGATATAAAAAAAAACTAATGACTAATAAAAGGAACATATGATATGCACTTTAAATTAAAGACGATATGAATATATCAATAAAAAATATCAACCTCATAAAATCCCAATGCCTCTCTCGTCAGCTGCATTTGCTGAAGAGACAATTTGTACTGTTCTTTAGTGTCATTCAGTCTTAGTAAAACTTTTCAAAGGTGGATCACCTCTTATCTGTCAGTGAGCCCCAGGGCAGCTGTGGCTACAATGTAGCTTGCCACTATCAGTGTGTGAGTGTGTGTGTGAATGGGTGAATGAATGTAGTGTAAAGTGCTTTGGTCAAGTCTCCTAACTTGAATAAAGGCGCTATATAAGTACATGCCATTTACCATTTATCTAAAGCATCTATTGTTTGCCTGGTCAGCCAGGCCGAAAATGCCTTTTGAGAGGCATAGGCCAGTATCAGGTATTACATACAGGTATTACACAGGTACTTCCGTACAAACCAGGACCTCAACGACTCCTCATCATTAAGGGGCAGACCTGTTCTTTTGGTTCAATTTGCATGTTTTCTGAGATATAATAAGGCTTTTGTTGGGCTACTCTGTAAATATTGGAACTCAACGCTTATCCAGACATTTTGAATTGAAAAAGCTTCCTGGATGGGAAGCGGAACATCTTCAAACATGCAAAACAAAGTCCAGTGGTTTGCTTTTCAACTTTTTTAACTTTTTTTGGAACAACTATTACTTGGATGACTAAGAATCTTTACCAGCATCCAAAATCTATTTTTGTCAATGTACAACATAAAAATAACTAAATTGTGCGCCTTACTGGTAACAGTGCTTTCAGGAAGTGATTCTAGTTATTGGTAGGATAAAAAGTTTTCTGGTGCCACTGTTGACAGTAAATTACCGTAATTAAAATAATGAATGTATTGTTTGTAAATGCAATCATAATTGAACTCTAAAAACAACCAGACATAATTATTCAAACCTGCTTTACACTGTCTGTGGAGTAATGACTACTATCTGATAGAATGTATCGTGTGAATAGATTCTACTGGTATTCAAACTGTCTCTGAAGGGTTTGGCTCTATTGTAATTGTGACCTTTACAATAGACAGTCTCAAAGGTCATGTTTGCTGAAACCAACTGCGATTAAAAAGATAATAAACTGACTTAACATTCACACTTGTACTGTCATCAGATTTCTAAAGGGATCACCTACTTATTGTACACATAGTTTGTCCATTCAAAGGCACTAACACAAAGCAGAGTTCAAACTTAGAGGCACTGATGTTATTAGAGTGCGGGAGGGAACCAGAGTTTCTTATAAAAACAAAAAAAGACAAACAAATATTGGGCAACAGGATAATATGGACTGTAAGCCTGTACAGCTAAATGGCTCAAACCCCAATCCCCTGTGCAGCTTGGCAGTAACACATTTTATGAAGCACTCCCTTCATCAACCTCTAGCACTGTGCTTGGATTTTGGTGGCATTAGATTAATAGATAACTTGTTTCCTGGAGTTATATAACATCATTTAAATATTCAGCCTTTTTTATTCAGTTCTGCGTGTCAAAGTTCCTTCTCCTGATAACACAATAGTGTTCATCAAGAGTTAATATAGCCAGTTTGCTCTTCAGACTGGAGATTTAATTTCTTTTCCTCACAGCTTCGCACATTTACAGCCCTGGAAAAAAAAGGAAATTTAATAGACAATTCAAACTTATTTCTTGATTGTGTCTGTTTGAATTTCAGGTCATATTCATTTGGTTACATTGAACTGAATAGGCTTACATTCTAAAGGAGATTTGAATAGGAGGAAGTGTGGACATTTTGTTGCTCTGGATGAGAAAAACTGCCTTCCTGGAATTGCATTTCAAAATATATTACTTGCAATTGTGCATGCTTTCATTTACAAATTAAATGTGTCTTATACATACAGATTATATTCTTGTTAATGTTTAAAACCTCTGAATAAACCAGTCTGAGTCAGATTTAATCCTGTTTCATCTCTTGATCATCATTCTTAACCCTGCCAGACTAACTTTTTAAGGATGGGTCATACCAGTTGTTCCTGTACAGTAAAGGAAGGCCTAAGGCGTTCAGCTTCCCAGTACTCAGATTAGATTGTTTACATGCATGCCTAAAAATGAATAAGCCCAGAGCATTGTTTGCAAATGTAAACATTACATTAATGACATTTTCTCATGTTTCAAAGGCGTTTGACATATGTGGATTTCATATTTATATATGTATTATATGTATTTCTTTGTCTGAACAAACCACAAATAAGGAAAAGGTTGCATAGCATTTTTTGTGTATTGTATATACATATATTATCAGAAGAACAAAAATGTATTCTGGAAATCTGTTGGTTCAACAAATCTAATGAAAAAATATATTTGCTTTAGAAAAATGTGTACGTAATTGCAAATAATAAATACACAGTAAAGCACATAGTTTCTGGAAAATTACAGAGTGTACAGTATATTTGTGATATTATTGGGATGATCTTTGGGTTTTAATTTTTTTGTTGTTGTTTTCCTAATTGGATCTGCTGTCTTTGTGTTCCTGCTTCAATAAATCCTCCGAACAATCCTACGAACTCTCTTGTACAAGTTCGCACCTCATCCTGCAGGGGTTTCCTGGTCACTGCAACCAGGTTGCCACCTTTTAGGAAACTCCTAAACAATGTATGAGTCCTTAATGACAAGCTCTATTTAAACAATCAGTAGGGCAGAGGATTGTTGGTTTTTAGCAGCCTATGATTCAAATTATTAGAAATATTTAAAGTCTTTATCAAAGCACATGGTCTTTTTTTTTCTCCATTATCTCCACCCATTTACCACACATGAAGGTTTTTACTCGCTCCTTCAGGATTGAGGAATTTACCACATCTAAGCCATTAAAAAAACATTTGCTACATGTTTCAACACATACGCTTAGGTAAGTAGACTCAATCCGGCTAAATGTATAATCATGTTGCACAGGCCTAAAGTCAATAAACAACATTCAAATGTATAAATGACTCTGGGTTAAACTCACCGCTTTATTGGTCAGATACGATATCTTGAGAAATTTTTCTGTTCTCTAATAAGTTTTAAAAAAAACTAAAAAGCAAAGAACAGAGTTAAGCTTATTTTGCAGAAACCTGTTCTTCCTGCTCTCACAACGGCAGTTGCTGTGCCTCGCTGCACAAAGTCAAATATGTAAATTGCAGAAGTTGGACTCCTCTATGTAACAAGATTTAAATGAGGCCATGCATTAAAAAAAAAAAAAAAACTACATTACAACATGCTCTGTGCTCAAAACGTATGTTCTGTACATTCACTTTCATCTGGAGGAGAAAGATGCAACCTAACAAAAAAAATTCAAAGGGAACATGTTGTTCACTTTACTGCAGAATGCAGCCTGTACTGCCAACAACAACAAACGAAGCAAAAGAAAACGTGGCAAGATTTTATAAAGCTGAGAACTTTAAAACAGAAGGTATTTCATGCTACTAAAGGTAGCAAGTAAATATAATATTCTATGAAATGATAAATACCCCAGGCGACCTGTCCAGGGTCTAACCTGTGTGTCACTGTGATGCTTTGCATTCAGTTGTGCATTTCCTTTAGTCACTTCCCAGCCACCAGTTAGCAGTGGGCAGCTGCAGGCTCCATCTGACCTTTTTACCAGCTCCCCATGTTCTAGCCGCGGCTAATCCTCTCTCCCAGCTGAAGTCTAGCCTGGTGATTTCGGCTGTCTATGTCGAACTCAGTTCCGTTCATCTCCAGTGCCTTCCTGCCCCTTGTCTGCAGCATCTTCACCCTTATCAATAAACTTTTAAATGTCATAATTTGCTGGCTTGAATGACTGAGTTCTACTTGAAGAAAAAACCTAACACTCGCCCATTGATTGCCATGAGGGGGAAGAGGGATGGACGATAAATACCCGCTAAAACTAGGTTTTCTTTGTATTATAATAGTAATTGGATTCTTAACAGGTTTTGAAAAATAATTTAACCTGTGGTGTGCAAAAAACACTCAGTACAGAAATCAATGTACTATAATGATGATAGAGGTTTTAGCATATCCCCAGCAATGTCTGTCAGTATAAAACATTTTTCTATTGGTCTCCCTAAAAATTTTCTTTCACAATCATAGTAATGTCAATGTTGTTAAAATGAATTTTGCCTTGTTGATTTGTTGATTGATCCGAAGCTGAGCAAGGGAATGTTCAGAAATAAAAAGCAGTTTATTAATGCAGCAGTTAAATGAAGAAATAATTTAATTTGTGTATAACTGTAGGCTATTGCCTGGATAAACTTTATTTTTCCAGGTACAAAGCAATAATTATATGGGAAACTTTAATATAAGTCATCTGCAAAAACATGTTTTCCTAAGTGAACCCTTATTTATTTCTTATCATATCCAAAATGGCAAAAGCACCCTTCCTGTTCATCCACAATCCAAAACTGTACTTGCCAATTGTTGTCCATGGCAACCGTGAGAACACAGCATAACATTTACTTTAGCCCTGATATTACCCACGCATCAAAGGCATCACTACCACAATACAACGGTTGACAGACAAATACGTGGCATACCAGCATGTCTTTTTTTAGGTTATTGTTTTCATAAGGATAAAAGACGAGTTTTCATAGACATTTTTTTTTGTTTTTGATCTTTGTTTTTATCCCAAGTTTATACAATCTTTTAAGGTGAACTCCCCAGAACTTAGCTGCTCACCTGCTTTCAGACGTCAACAGGCTTATAATAAAGCTTTAGTGACAGCCTTTACTGAGAAGCTGTGGCAGACAAATGTTAATGAAAAATTTTCCCATACACAAATTCCAAGAGCTATAAAAGCTGCATGACATTTTAAGTAAAATTCATGCAAATTAACAGATGAGATGAAGTTTTGGAAAAATATATTCATCCCTTGTTTACTGCGTATCAGCAATAATATATTACTCCGAAAAAATTATGCATGACAGGTTCAAAAGAGAAACTCAAACATCTATCTCCCTCTACTGTACATTCAGGGGAAATTCCCAAACAGAAGAACATTTTCAACCTTTTTATGTGTTTGCCTAACTTCTTTGTTCCTGCTTGATCAGAGTTTGATGAGAAATGCTGTGTTGGAGATTATGGATTGGAGGTCTTCGGTTGGTGATCAGATTTTAATTTAAGGTTCTTTGACAAACAGGTTATTTCCTTTCTCAGCCATTTGACTCTCATCTCTACTTTCTTTTTGCATGCTCTCTCTTGATAAAAAGATAAATGGGTGATAAAGAAGCAGTGTTTTAATTTTTACTGAGTTTGTCATATCTGCGTCATTGTGGTTAGGACTGATTAGGGATGTTATTCTAACTCGGAATGCTGCTGAGTCTGTCTTTACTTTGATTTTTCATGGAATTTGACTCCTATGACAAAGAGAGAAGCTATTTCTATTAAATAAGTTTCTTAAATTTAACATTTAATATCAACTTTTGGGATATTTCAGATGTTTTTTGGTCCCCAACAGAAAGAACTTTCACACAGTTTGGTTAAAAAAGGGGTGTACATGTATCATCAATGATCATTCAATGTGCCTTTGTAAAACCAGAGGTTATTGGACTTGACCTTTATCTTTAGCCATTAAAAGAAAACCGATTTGATCTAATATTCAGGTTTAAAACTAATTAGGTGGTTTAATCACATTATATACCTTAAAATAGTCTCCGTATTTCAACCTACAGAGCAACAAGTTTACCGTCCTTTGCAAAACCTTCAAGACTGAAACGCGACTAATTGGCATCAATGTATTGATAAAACATACCCATTAATACACACAAATGTGCAAATTCATGTTTATCTTGACAAGCAAAAAAATATATATTAATATATCAATGTAATTGATCGATGCCCTGTTTAAAATCTGCATCACCAGTCACTTTCATATGTGCACAAGGCAATTATACACTAATGTATAAATGCAGACAACGTATTAAGTAGTTATACAAGTCAGACTTGAAAGAAGAATTTATTTAAACTGTATTTTAAAAATACAAATCAATAAATGGCAGGAAAAAATATCTTCAAAGAAATTTAATGACTGAAATTATCAGCCAAGCTTGTATACTAATGTGATACAATACACTTTACAGTATATAACCACAGTTTAGTTCATTCTGTATTTAAAGAATGGCTATATTGGCTAGAAGAAAATAAAATATCATCTACACTAGCTAAACATGTTTACCTATAAATTTTCCAACATATTACATAAATTTAGCTTATGCCATCTACAACTGCAACTAGAATAGAATAGAATAGAATAGAATAGAATAGAATAGAATAGAATAGAATAGAATAGAAAACCCCTTTATTGTCCTACAATAGGGAAACTCAGTTGTTTACAGCAGCAAAAAGATTATAGAAAAATTGTCGGACAAATATGGACCTTAAAAATGTATAAGAATAACATAATAGTGAAGAATAAAAAAAATAAACAAATAAAATACTGTAATGTAAAGTGTTTTGACAATACAAAAACTGTGCACATGGAGATTAAATATGCATTTATATAATCTAATAATTTAACTATATAATTAATTCATCATTTATGTCCTTGTAACAAAGCCTAAGCTATCTAATCGAAACAAAACGAAACATGCTTAAATATGTCATACACGATGGCTAATTGTTTGCTAATATAGTTCAATAATAAAGCAACAACATGACTAATATGCAACAAGTGACTAATGTGGTTCTTTCATTATCATTACTCAAACTAATATGACTGTAGATTACATAATGAGGTTAACAAGGAGGTAAGTTGAATAAGCTAGTTAATACATATAGATATTTAGGATATTAACTGGGTGGAATCTCTCTTTCTTTTTATCCTCCACATATACAAATTCATTTGGAAGTGATTGTTTACCAGATCTCAATGGTTTTTTAATTAACTTTAATTAAAAAAGTTATTATCAGATTGACCTCTAGGTGTAGACAATAATTAGTCCATATTTTGTCTTTAAATTACTTCAAATAATTTCCCTCTGAATATACTGTCTGCGCAACATTTTGCTCACAATATCAAGCTGTACATTTCCTCATACTTTGCAGTCTCATATTTTTACTTTCTGTTTCTATATTTCTACATTTGTGCATTTCTCAATGCTCGGTCGCAGGATTTTCTTGTCAGACTGTTCGTCATACATTTCGATTTACCTATACAGGATACTTCTATTCTAATTTTAAAGAGAATATAACAGTGTTTTACTTTTCTGCCTTTATGATAGTTTATAACAAATAACTAAATGATCAACAAACATTTAAAATATCAACAAAAGATGAACTAAAAGTAAATATACTGGAGTGTCTGCTTTTAATGAGTTTGTCACTTCTGCTTAAGCGCAGTAAGGACTGAAGGGGGAATGTGTGAACAGAATCTTTTTGGGTAGATCTACTCTTCAAATTCTGAATGGATTTAAGGTCTTTAAAGCCGAACAAACCAGGAATTTTTATTATGACTATGTGGAAACTTTTGAAGAAGAGCGATAAGACCTGCATAACATCCCAATTATAAGCCGTACATCTTTCAGTTTTGCTTGGATCATTTCAAGAAATATACCGCATGAACTACTCATCCTTCTAGTTTACAGAGAGACAAATTAGCATTCCTCTGCAAAACCTAAAAAGCACATAACACCAAAGAAATGTGTACCAATTCAAGATCACATACCCCTTCACAAAAGAATGCATGTTTTGTTTTTTTTTCAAGTTCAAGTGATATCCTTTCTTGGACCATGCCACATTTTTGTGAAACCAAACAATAGCAGGCTAAAATCTGATGATGATCACATGATGATTGTGCAACTATAATAAGAGAATTATATACAATTGCACTTAAATGGTCCAACACAAACGATGATTAAAATGATTGTAGTGTTTACGACAATTCTTTCATAAACTTTACAAAATCAATAGTGTCAACACTGGAACAGTGATGCATTAAATAAGTAGCCTTTGTTGGGTTACTGTATAACACCTCGAACTCAACGCTATTCCTGACATTTTGAATCGAAAAAGCTTCCTGGATGGGAAGCAAATTCTCCAAATCTTCAAATTCAAAAACCAAGTCAAGTGGATTGCTTTTAATTTTTTTTGTTTGTTTGTTTTGGAATAACTAGGACC